CTCCATTAAAATTTTCTCAGTAAATGCAGTCAACATGGTCTGAATTATTTATTAGACAAACAGTCCTGGAATATACTGCTATCTGTTGCATCGCATCATCCACTTTCTGTGACAAAAATGCCTTCTAACGACTTTGGTTTCATCCTGATTTTGGTTGGGTTATTGGGTGTTGGGCTGGTACTTTTACAAATGGGTTGGATCATCAATGAGGGCCAGGGAACAAGAAATGAAGCACTTGAGGACGCATCTCTGAATAAAGCACGCCACTTTATTCTCCGGGCTGTGAGTACAATGGTGACGGGGCTACAGTGGCACAGTAAGTGCTCCTGGCAATTAGAGCGTGGGGCGGGGCGGGGCGGGGCGGGGGGTGGTGAGCACAGCAGTGTGGAACCAGCAGACCACCTTGTCCTCTGCAGGTAAGCAAGTGGCACTCAGGCACGGACACACACCACTCAGTGTCACAGGGAACACAACACAGCTTTTCAAAGGGAATTCTTCTAAATATTTGCTTTCATATTTCTGAACATTTGCTTTCATATTTCTGAACGGGGAGGGAGGGCAGGAAGAGCTGTACGCCTCCCGACATTTGAAAAAAAATAAAATTCCATAAACACAACTTCAAATGAAAGAGCTGAAAGCCTCAGTGCAGAGCTGTCAGTCACTTACAGAAGTGCACACGGTCAAACACATCTGTACATAAACCCCAGCGGAATGGCAGTTTGGTGCCCAATGGTTTCCTCCTCCAGAAGGTAAAGGGACACAGACGCCATCGGGAAGCGCCTGGCATCTCTCTGAATGTCGGCGTCTGCCTGGGGCTGCCTGCCTCCACCTCTCACCAAGGGGCGGGGAAGTGACTCATGGGAACTTCACTCTCGGGAGAGACTCTTTGGGGAAGAATTTTATTTAATGATAACAACCGCCACTCAATTACACTAAGCTTCAGAAAATGTTGAATTTGTTTAATGTTGCGGTATACACGTACATTGTTTAGAAAGTTTCTCTCGGCTGGACCTGATTGCCTCCCCTTTTCTTTTTGAGTTTGCTGTAAATTAAACTGGCTGAAATAAAAACATAGCAGTCCATATACAAAGCATAGCTGTCACATCTCCTACGGCCTCCTGGGCAGCAAATGGAAAATAAAGATAGGGACTTTTTTTTAAAAAAACAAAATGCCAACGTCTTTTCCTGTCTCGATGTATCTGGGCAAATTCTTTTACTGTACATCATCACTGTAAGGCGGCGTCACTTATCTCAAGGCCCAAATCATCTCTTTTGCTGGACAGAAAAGTTCTTCTACTCAGAAAACGAGCACAAAAGAGCCAGTTTTAGGTCATACTGACGAACACCTTGTTCATCAAAAGAAAGTAATTTTAAAAATCAAACAAAATCAAGGCTGGCAGAGGAGATACAGATTAATTAGCTACCAGAAATACAGAGGTGGTGATTTCATAAAAACTGAGCTTGCTTCAGAGGACACAGAAGAGTTGAAGAGGCAGTTCATTGTCCTTGCACTGTTTTGCGTGACAGCCAGAGAAAGGGCTGTGAAAACCCATCCCAAAGTGGCCACCTGTCCCTACAACGTGCTAGAGGACAGTAACACCAAATTTGCTTTAAATGGTTTTTAGAAAGACTTACCTACTCAAAAATGGTTCATTCTAATTTTTCAAACTTGCAAAAGCATGTATATTTTATATAATCATCTGAGAAGCAATTCTTAGAAAAAGATGTTTGCTTCCAAGTGTAAAGAAATTCAGTGAAAGTTTTAGAAAGATTACCAGCTAGATTTCTCCCCGTTAGAGTTGACTGATATATCAGACTGGGATGGAGAGAGGACAGGTGAACAAGAGAACTGCTCTAGCCTCGGCCTCGGAAGAAACTCAGCTTGGTGATGACAGAATTGAGGGGGCAGGTGATGGCAACCGGCAGACACCACCGATAGTGGTGAAGAGAACTATCCTCTCTTTTTTTCTTTTTTAACCCATTCAGTTCAGCTCTTCTCTTTAAGGTTTCAGAAAACAGGCAGTTTGTGTTTAGTTATTGAAGAAGTCACAGTAAGAACATTTCAAACTAGTCCCAAGCCAAAATGCAGATGTGTAGCTGGCTGCACGAGCTTCCAGACTCTCTTCCTATCTCCTAATACAAGTCACACAGGAAGACTTCAGGATAGCCTGGATTTTTCTTGAAGAAATTTTAAGGGAAGCACTGATTTTTAGAGTCATGTCATCAGTACGCGCTCAGAGTCACAAGCAAGTCAAATGCTTAAAAACGTAGCCCTTTGTATGTGCCCCAGGGGAGACTGCCATGGGGTACAACCCCTTTCCTGGGGTGAACAAGCTCCATTCATTTGAGTGTGCGGACAACTAGAATTTCCATGGGTAGAACAGGGCAGGGTTAAAGAAGAGAATATCCCTCTCCTGAACTGTGGCTTGGACATTTTGAGGAAAAAGCACGCAGAGCCTAGTTTAACAAAATGGCTAGATCGTCGGAGCCCATGTATCAGAGATTTGGCAATTAGGAGAACCAGGGGCCCCGGGACCCCATCCTTCCAGCTGGGGCCTTCTGCTGGGGAGCCCCTCTGCTGTGTGTGTTCAGCGATCCCTTCCAGAGCACAGCAGGTCTCTGCTTACAGACAGGAGCCACTGCTGCTCCCCAGCAGGGCATTTCTATGTGGAATAGTTTAAATTAACTAACATAATACATGATACGGAAAGGAAATTATGTTTTCCTCTTCAAGTTGGATGTAGAACGGAGTTCCAAAGCTACAAGGAAGCAGGGTTTCATTGGCCAGGCAGGTTTAGGGTTCCGTTCTTTAACTGTCATTGGAATCTGAGGCAGGCCCCTTCACTCCGGGTCTCTGTGACGAGGCGGTGGCCTCTTTTTTCAGTCTAACATCGTCATTCTAGGACAGAGCCATGTCCTCTTTATGGAGGCCAAGAGATAGCAATTTTAGAAAAGCCAACTGTTCATGCCCGTGTTTCCCCAACAAACTGGAGTTTGATCTGCATGCGCCTGCAGGTTAACTCAGAAACCAGAGTGACACATGGCAGTCCTTTATCATCTCCAGAGAGGAAAAAAAAATCTCTCCACCAGCTGAGTGCTGGGCCCCTCTTTGGCTACCACTGTTGCCCACTGGGGTAGAGAAACACTGGGAAGGCAACATCCTCCCGCCCCGTACTCTGCCAGAGAGAAGCAGGGACTGGGAGACCCAGGCATTGTTAGGAGGCTGTGGGTGCAGAACAGGGCGGGACAAATGCAGAATGAAACAGGCAACTCACACACGAAGGGGTGTGACTCATGAGAGCAGTGTGGCCAGGCAGGAGCTGGTCCCGTCTGCTCAGGCCACCCCGTTCAGAGCCATTTGCTACGCGTGTTAGTACACACACACATGTGAGTGTGTGTACATCTTTGTGAGAGTATTCCACATACATTCAGAGCACAGCAGTGAGAAGGCAGGCAACCTTAGATTCCTGCAGTCCCAGCCCCGGAGGATACCATGTAACAGTCAGCATGCCACTCCAGAACACCCCAGACAGAGGCAGGGCACCAGCCAGAGGTCTGCAACATGGGCTCAGAAACTATCCTTGCTTTTGACCAGTGGTGTCAGAGAGACAGACAGCCTTGGTGACAGCAGGAATTTCTGAGCTTTTGTTAGCTGTGGCAAATGGAGGAGAATTCAAATGCTTTCTTCTTTGGCTTTAAAACAGAGCTTAAATTTTAAGCAAAGCCTCAAAGCATGAGAATAAATGGGACTTGCCTTCGTGTGTGTGTGTGTGTGGAGTTGGATAAACTCTCTCTCATCTCACTCACATCAGGAATCACAACAAGGTTTTATGCACATGGTAGTGAAACCCTCGGCTCAAAATGGAAGCTGGTTTTGTAGACGGTAAAGGCTCTGGTGAGATGGCCTGGCTGCCTGGTTTCCCTCTGTGGTCTGCAGTCTGACCCTGCCGCGGGCTCCATATCAGCGTGCAGCTTCTAAGTGCCAACACCCTTCCATGAAGGAGGCGGAGTTGGGAGTGCAGTTTAGCATCACTTGATATTTTGAGCCATGCATGTTTGTGCAAATGTCCCTTAGAAGCTGCAGCACAGTGGGACAAACTTCAAGCAGAAATTGAAAAGCCCGTGCAGACTCACCAAGCTATGCTGGGTGAGCGAGTTGCACACACACACACACACACACAGGCACACTCCCCAGAAGTCAACAGTGCTAGGCAAGGAAGGACCCTGAAAAGGCCAGATTAATGCCACTTCAGGGAATCAACTTTGGAGATGCGGAGATTTCACAGAGAAAAAGGTATCTTTCCTTAGTCTATTACTGACAAAACCTTAAAAAGCAAAATCAGTGAGGGCTTGATCTGATTTGTAGGATGCCTGAGAGAGGGCAGAGGGCTCTGGGTGGAAGAACTTGCATTGGTAGGACATGGAACCCTTTTTTGGGGGGCCAAGAGTGGTATGGCTTCTGGGCAAAATCACCAACAGCAGGCAACTGAGCCAATCAGCAGACAATTTCTGTCTTTCCTTTTTTGGCAAAAGTGGAGGATAACTCCTGTCCTGGGTGGAGAACAAGAATCAAGCTACCTGAAGCAGAAAGAGGTGAGGGAGGATTGCGTTTCATTCTTTTTCCTTCTCTTTAAGCAACTAAAAATAATAATAGCTAAGCAATTTGCCAATGAGGTCATAGCAAACAGTAGAGAACAAGGAGCTTGTTAAAAATTATTTTTGTGGACATTCGGCCCATTCAAACAGAGCTGCCTGGTTCCCGGAGGGACTTCCACTCCTGCCAGAACATGGGCAGAGCTGAGTGAGGCCAGTTATGAAAGGTGAGTGCAAAATTGCTGCCACCCCATATGTATGTCCCTCAGCCTCTTCCTTCTCAGCCACAGTGCTATCTGATAAATATATTCCTACTCTGGAATTATGTCCACTGATCATTCCCATGCGGCATCCTAAGGGCACTTGCTGGCTTATCCATATAATCATTACTATTGTTGGACAACAGTTAAAGAGAAAAAAAGAGGAGGAAATTTAGCTCCTGTTGTGTACATAGGGTAATGTCAAAGGTCACACGGGGACACCACTGCAGAGTTTGGGAACATAGAAATTGCGACCCCATTGCTTCTGGGCAAGCATTGCTGTTGGTTGGCCCAACATTCAACCCATGGGTGTTTTAACCAGACTTTCCCTTTTTGGTGTTGCTGAGGGACAGTCCTTTGCAAATCCTCCAATCAAGTTGGGGCCTCAATACCACATCCTATGTGTCACCGCCGTCGTCAGTCCTTTTTTCTAATTGCCATTCACGGGTGGGCATTAGAAGAGTTTTGCTTTTTTCTTCATGTCGTTGCGTCTCCAGAGAGGTAACTTGTCAAACTCCTGTATGGACATCCCGAAGATTTCCCGAAACACTTCAGGGGCCAAGTGACGCTAAGGGAGAGAGGAAGGAGCAGGGTCAGTCTGATGGTCACATGGGTGGCACTGAGAGTTGCTGTCCAGTTTATAAAGAGTCACTTTGAAGAGTGAGGCAGGATGGTGAGGAAACCTCCAAGCTTGCCACCAGGAAGTCTTAGAACCACGCTCCTTATCTGATGAGGCCAGGAGAGGAGCCCTTCCCATCAGATAGAAGAGCTGGCCCAGGGTTAATGGTTATTATCACCACCCTGACTAGCGACAGGGCACAGGGCAGTGATTTACGATGTTGGAGATGACTCCACTTCAGGTCTGTGGGAGGTTGAGGAGATGCAGGGAACACAGACCATAAAAATGGGAAGGGAAGGAGAAAGACTCCCAGAGTGGTCCTTGGGGAGTCCCAGGGCTTCCTCCTGGCTCGGCAGCAGGAGGTCGGGTGGACGCTTCATCCACCAGGGAGATTTCCCATCTGCCGTTGCTCCTGGGACAGTTCCCCTGTGACCTGAGAGCCTTTACTTTCTGTGCCAGCGTGACCTTATATGCGAAGGTCCTGCCTTTTGTCAGGAAGAGGCAGGAAAAAGGAAAGATTCTGAGACTGGCAGCCACAGTTTTCCTTAATTAAAATCATTCAGATGGAAAACTACAAAGATTAGTCTCCCATGTCCAAGGACATCTTGGGTCTGTGCGCCAAGGTAACCTTTCAATAAGGGATGCGGAAACAGCCATGAAAAAATCTGTCCAGTGTAAGCCTCTTTCTTGAGAGCCTCCCCAGGCCCAGTGAACTCAACCGAGGCTGAGGGGAAGAAAACGACCTGGGGCCATCTGGAGAGGGACAGAGACTCCATCTGGAGAGGGACAGAGACCCCTACTCTACATCACCAGCCATGACTATGGCAGTGAAAATGATTAAGGTCAGACTTTGCCTTCTGAATATTACCAGGCATTTAAATGCTGATCAAAGTATAAATCTGAATCTTCTTCCAAATTTCTCTTAGTTCTACTCATGATAGGAGAATGATTTTTAATTTTCATGTTTTTACTAAATAAATGAAACATTTCTTAGGGGAAGTCGTGGGGGAATGCGGTGTTTTCTGTGTTTCTTTTTACCTCCAGCCTGGTTCTGTCCACGTCTCTTAGGATTTTGTTGCGCCCTCTGTTGGTCACCATGAGCATTTCGTATGGAAATATCTGAGAAGGAAGGAAAACACCTCTTCCATCTTATTAACTAGCAGAATCCACATAGAATCTAGCAATCTCAAAACATGGCTTCCTCAAAATTATTATGGCTACATCCAAGTGGTGAGTGTTCCTCCTATAAGAAGCTCCTGGCTCCTGTGTCCAGGGGACAGATTCTTAAAGACTCCCAACTCTCCACTGTTTTTTCCTGGAACATGGAGCCTTGGGCAGGCTTTGAAAAGGGTAAGAATACTAATGTACAAGTATTGGTGATATGGATAAAAAGCAGAAGAGAACTGAAACACAAGTAAACATGCTGTCTTTTACATGATGCTGATGCAGGAACCCTGATGCATTTGTTCAAAGTTCAACAATCTTGGTCCATGGCTGGCTCATGATTCCATGGAGCCATGTTGACCTAGAAGCAATGTTCCAGCAACCGACATACTGAGGCCAGTCCTGGTAATGCTCACCACGGAGCACAAGCCCTTGAACACCTCCAGAGGTACAGGTGTTTTAGAGCTCGAGTGGCCAGCTCACCCATTTTTCCTGGGACAGAAGAGGTTCCTGGGAAGCAAGACTTTCAGTGCTGAAGTGAGTAAAATTCCGGAAAACTGGGACATGTTGGTCACCCTGTCTGGAGCAGTCTACAGCCGCTCCACTTGGCACTGGATGTGCCCTGGAATGTACATGGCAGGGGCCAAGGTAAAACCCAGGGAAAGAGATTCTAGTACCTCAGTGTGAACAGAGCACGTACCCATTAAAGGGCTCCAGCTGCTGACCCAATGTGGCAAAAACTACAGAATGGAAAGTGCATGGAGGCATGGCTGGCTTCAATCCACCAGCCTACAGCAAATTTGGTCTCAACATTCTGAGACTTGTAAAAAGACAGAAAACAAAATCTTTCCAGGGCCATCCAACCCCACATAAGAGAAAAAAGGAGAAGAGCTGTACTTGCCTTTGGTTCCAGCATGTTCGGCATGGACACGCCTCGGTCCATTCTCATTGCAGGCATGTGGCCGTCTGGAAGTGTCTGCAACAGAAATGCTCATTGAAGGGGGACACAAAAATACCGTGGGGGACAGAGGAGCACTTTGGGGACTCCCAAACATCCCTGTGGGATCCCAAAGCCTCATCACTGTTTTATAGACATGTTGTAGTAATTACCACGTACTTTTCAAAATGAGATGTTTACTGAGTAAGAGCAGGAATACTGCTGTTTTTGTAATCCGGGGGGGGGGGGATGTGGGCTTAATAGTTATGGATTAGCTCCTGAATTTAGGTTCTGTATATTATAGTTTATAATACATTTAAAATGGCCAAGTCTATTATTGTTATTTCTTATTTTTATCTTAATTTTATTTGAACTTTCCCCCTTTTCTCCATCACAGTTTTACCAGATGTAGGTCCTACTGAGACAAAGAAACGCGATGAGAGCAAACTGCTCTCTCAACTGGCCAAGACATGAGCTTCCTTTCATCCGGGAATGGGCGAGAAATGGGAAGACTAGCGTACCGACAGGTTATCACGAACCAAACAGAACAAACTGTATCTAAGCAGAGCCCTGATGCCGGCCCTTCTCTACCCGAGAAAGGACTCTCCAAGGGTAGATCAAGGGAGTCTCCCTTCACCTGGCCTGGCTCATGTCCCCAAGGCCTTGGGGACAGCTTGACCCAGGCACCAGGCTAGCCTGCTCTTCCTAGCTATGGAGTAATGAGAGACCAATCACAATAAGCATCTTCTCAGCAGAAACTGTTGCCCCGGAGCAAGCAACCCCCACTGGAAAACTGTTTCACCCGAATGACCGACTCCAGGCAAAGTTCCATACCTGGTAGTCTGCAAAGGAAAGGAAAAGAACACAGCGTCAGGGGAGGACCGCGGAAAAACCCGAGCCATTAAGAGAGACTGTATTCTATTTGGAATTCCCTAAACTCTCCCCAAGTGAACCATGTTCTCTTGCGGGTCCCAAGCCCTGCACATCCTGTCCCGTCAGCCTCCTGAAGCCAGGAGGTGCCTGCTGCAGTTTTAGTTATCAGTCCAAACAGCCTTTCCTCCGGGAAGCGTCCCCAGCAACCCGAAGGTGCCGCTTTCCTCTCTCTGCAGCTTGCATCACAGCATTCATCACACAGACACAGAACTTCTCTCTGTCACACTTTTTTCTTTTCTTTCCTTTTGAGACAGAGTACCATTTTGTGACCCCCCCCATAGAGTGCCATAGCATCACAGCTCACAGCAACCTCAAACTCTTGGGCTTAAGTGATTCTCTTGCCTCCGTCTCCCTAGTAGCTGGGACTACCGGTACCCAACACAATGCCCAGCTAGATTTTTTGTTTGTTTGTTTCTGTTTGTTTTTATTTAGTAGGCCAAGGCCTGGTTCTAACCTACCAGCCCCAGAGCATGTAGCTGGCATCCTAACCACTGAGTTAGGGGTGCCCAGCCTGTCACACTTTTTTATTTTTTTTAAGCAACTGAGTCTCACTCTGTCACCCAGGCTGGAGTATAGTGACATGATTGAGATTCACTGCAACTTCTCTTGGATGCAAGCAATCCTCCTGCCTCAGCCTCCCAAGCAGCTAGGATTACAGGCATGAGTCACTATGTCCAGCTAATTTTTTAAAATAATATTTAAATTTTTAGGTAGAGATTAGGTCTCACTTTGTTGCCCAGGCTTTGTTGCTGGAATTCCTGGCCTGAAGCGATCCTCCCACCTTGGCCTCCTAATGTGCTGGGATGAGGACAGCCTCTACCACGCACATTTTGAGGGCAGGGCGTATCTCTCTTATTGCTATACCTCCAGGTTTGTAAGGGAGTACTCAACACATACTGAGAGCAGCGAATGTTTACAAACTCTCTTCTTTTTTTTTTTTTTGCAGTTTGTGGCCAGGGCTGGGTTTGAACCCTCCACCTCCGGCATATGGGGCCGGCGCCCTACTCCTTTGAGCCACAGGCGCTGCCCCTCTTACAGTTTTATTTCACTAGAGATCCTTTGAAATTATTTTAGTTAATTTCTCTGCTAGCTCACAGACAATACATGCACTCCAATTTCATGTAATATGTATGGGGTGTAATATGGCACCAACACAGCCAAGACACTGCGGGTACACATGAGGGACTTCTCATGAACCTCAGCCAGTCAGCTGGCCTGGCCAGGAGGTGGGGGACGGCTTACCTCGCACTCCCCCGCTGACATCACCATAGCTGTTATACTGAGCAAAGTCTGTAGAAACAGGCTGAAAGGAGAAGAACACATTATTAGAAAAATGTCCACAGTGATCATTTTGAAGTTAGATGGACAGGAATAAGGACTTCCAAAACCTGAGAATTCTTCTCCAGCTAAATTCCTGCACACTCATTATTTCTCTTTCCTACTTACTCTTCTACTGCTATGAAATCTCTTTGCCTTTTGTAGAACACCAAATGCCACTGCCCAGCAGGCCCTTGTTAAGCAAATATATCTTGCTGATAAATAAAAATATAGTTCTTTATTTAGCTATATGATATCATTTGTTTCGTGGGAGAGACGGTTGCAGCAAACTTTCCTCTGTCTTTTTACAGTGGAGATAAAGGCTCAAGTCATTACTTCTTGCTTCCTTGTAAAACGATTTGCTACACAATTACTTAATCCAGTCTTCCCATACGTTTACACAGGCCATTCTTTTATCTAAGGGCAATTTCTCCTTCTCCCAATAGATTTCAAACTCAAAGTGCTTTAACAGGAAATCAGAGGTTATAATTTTTGTCATATTCCAACACTGATGTCAGGAGTTAGACGTAGTCAGATAACACCTCAGTACAGGTTGAGTACTCTCCTTCTCCAAAATGCTGGGGATCAGAAGTGTTTTAGATTTTGGATTTTTTATTTTTACATTTGGAAACACTAGAGTATATATAATGAAATATTGGGGCGGGGGGGGGGATGGAACCGAAGTCTAAACATATAAATTCACTTTTATGTCACAGACATCTTATACATGTAGCCTAAAAGTAATTTTATACAATATTTTAAGTAATTTTGTATGTGGAACAAAGCTTTTAATTTACTATCCTTGTGGAGTGCACGTGTGGGGAAATCTGGGCGTGCACAACTCCAGGGTGCCTTTTCCCTTTGGGAGGCTGATAAACTGTGTGTTGTGTGCTTGTCTTTTGACTGTGACCTGTCACAGGAGGCCAGGCGTGAACTTTTCCACTTGTGGCATCATGTTAGCTCTCAGAAAGCTTCAGATTCTGGAGCAATTTGGGTTTTAGAGTTTTGAATTAGGGATGGCTGACCTATACTTCCACCAGGACTGAGCAGGGAATAAACACAGAAATGTGACTGAAGCGACTCTTACCCGGTGCAGCCCATTTTTTCCATAGCCAGGGAGAGATGCGGTTTTAGATGACGGGATATGTGACACTGAAGGAGAAACAGGTAAGAAAGTAATTATTAGGAAACCAGAAGTTCAGTTCCTTTGTGAAACTGGAAGTGTATCCTCTATCTTGTAGAATAGATGATTTAGGAAAAAATGAATTCAAGTCACATGTTCATACAATGCCAGGACATCTGGGGGATGCAGGGAATGGGTGGGTAGTGATATTTCTGGGGGTGGGGACAGAAGTACAGACAGTTCGGCGGGACGGAAGCTAGCTGCGCTTCCTACAACTCTGCCATGTAGCTAAGGGGACGGCCTACATCATCTCTCTGAGTCCTCAAGAATGCTACTGTTATTTCCACTTACAGAAGAAGAAATAGGAGCTAAGAGAAGTAACCTGCCAAAGGTCCCCCAGCTTGTAAACAGCTGAGCAAAGACTGGAATCCAGGGACATTTGGGTATGTTAGCCCATGACCCAGTTGATACTGTAGCTGTAAGTGACCTGGAAGCCAACCATATAAGATGTGCTGATTAGCCCCAGTGGAACTCCTGAGAGGCTTGGTTTTGGGTCCCCTGTCTGTCAGGGTCATGGAAACCATGGCTGGTCGTTTACATTAAGATATTTAAACCCAGGAGCAAACCTGGGTTTGAATTCTGGTTCTGCAACTTAACACTAGTGTATCTTTGTTTTTACGATCTTTTTGAAATTTTCCTTTCTTGATCTCTGTGATATAGTGAGATTTCTTCCTTCCTTCCTCCCTCCCTTCCCTTTCCTCTCTCGCTCCCTCCTTCCTTCCTTCCTTCTCTCTCTTTCTCTCTCCCTCCCTCCTTCCTTCCTTTCTCTTTTTTTTTCTCTCTCTCTTTCTTTTTTTGCGGGGAGCAAGGTCTTTTTTTATGTTGCCCAGTCTAGGCTTAAACTCCTAGCTAAGTGATCCCAGCCTTCTGAGTAGCTGGGAGTACGGGCATATGCCACCGTGCACAGCTATTCTTATATAATGGGACATAATCTCATAATTAGAAGGAACTTTTAAGATTAGTAACCCACCAAATGCAAGATCAATGCTTGTGAAGCACCCATGACAGGTGGCAAGGATTCTGGTTAAGAGTGTGGGCTCTGGAGTTCTAACACTTGGATTCCTAAGTCCTAGTTTTGCTAGTTATTAGCAATGTGTGGCATTGGTTATGTTACTTAAACTTCCTTTACTAGTCTCCCCATCTATAAAATGGAGAAGAAAATGCTGGTGCTGCCAAGAACTAAAAATCCATCTACTTCACTGGGCTGTTGTGAAGATTAAATGAACTAATGTTTAGCAAAAGTGCTTATATGTAGTAGACACAAACTATATTCTTTAAAAGGAACCCGTGGAAGAGAAAATTATGTTCTGGTTTAAAACACAGGAGAAGTAGTCTTGTGGGTTAAGAGAGAACTGATTATGGCAAATAGAAGCAGGGGGAACATACTGACAATTTCAGCCCAGCATATGAGTAATCTTTCCTCCTAAAATGTCAGAACAATACTGCCAGTCCTCACCTCAGGTACTGAATATATGAATGTAAAATCACAAGTTTACTAATGTCTTCTTCATGTACTCTATGGGATTTCCTTTGAGGCAAGTGTTCTAGAAGGCAGACGGATAGCCAGTTATAAACTTGCATGGGACTGCCCCCCTCATGGTTCTCGAGACCCTCGAAAGGCTCTCCCACTTCCAGAAGGACCATGACAAGCCTATAAACTAAGTTGACCTGAAGTGGGGAAGTGGGTTGCCTACACTCCCTTTCCTGGAGAACACTCTGGAGGTTCCATCACCACGGTCCTGCCTCTCCTGTAACAGCCCGGCAGGCTCCTCACAGGCGGGCAGCTGGCTGTCAGCGTGGGGAATACAAGTGGCCAGTCGCTGCTCACCTGAGTGGATGGGAGAATCATAGCGACTGGCTGACAGTGATGACCTTTCCCGGCTCTCCATCTCTTCTTTCAGTATCAACTGCCCCAGGCCAGAGTTAAGCTAGTCACAAGAAAGAAGAAAAATGAAAGCAAAGGCTGAAACTACTTTTTGGAACTGCAGTTTCTTTCTAGAAGATTCTACAAGAAGTTCCTGACTCTGGAGGGCCTGGATGCATGGTGGTCCCAGAGTCTGGTGGTTCCTCAAGACGTTGGCCCGGTTTTGGACCTTAAATCCCTCTTGGCCTTTTCAATGTTGAAGCTTCACTTCCCTAAGCTGGGCTCTGGGTCAGAATGCTTCCTTCCCTTGCCTGCCCGCAAAGTGCCAGCAGGTGATCTTGGGAGGGGGTGTGTGTGTGTTTCTACTGCAAGAAGGGGAGATTAGGGGTGGTAGCCTTTAAAAAGAAATTACGCTGATTTGTTTAAAAACAAGGAAGAGTCATAACACATGGTCGCTGAACATATTTTGGAAAATCCAGAAGAAGAGTGACCCATAATCCACCACTCAGGGATACCATCATTTACATTTTGATTTATTTCCATCTAGTGTCTTTCTATACACATGGAAAACTCGGACCCAACCGTAAATGCAACTTGGTACTGTTTCCTACTGTATAACTAACATCACGTGCATCTCCCATATCTTTAGAAGACATCCTTTCAAGAGATTCATCAGCCCCTTCTTGGTGGGAGAGTTTATAATTGACTGTCCTTCTGGGATGCTGCAGGCTCTTACAGAGTGAGTTCTACCATTAGTAAATTCATTTAAAAGCATACTTCTTATATTTCTTTCAAGGGATGGGTCTCTAACGCAGGAAAGTAAGAAGAGGGCCTCTTGGCTGCAGTCTGTTTCACCCCTTTTCTCCTGGTCCAGATACAAATACAAGGTCTTACGCATCCTAGAAAAAGACCCGGAGAAATGTTCAATCCCAAGAGAACTTCAGCAGAGCCTGCAGGAGGGAAGGAAGGTGTTCCCTTCCTGGGTATGCACCTCCTTGCTCTACTCGGCCCTTCAGCATCCTTTCAACACACGCCAGTGCATGCATGCCCCCCAGTCTCGCTCTCCTTCTCACAAAAGCCCAAACGTCCTATGTCCCTCTGACCCCCAGCCTCAGTGTCACGTCTTCTAGAGCCCAGCATATGCCTGCCTCAGGCCAGTTCCTAGATGCCTGTCCGGTCATGCCTACCAGATGGAAAGCCCTTGGGGGTTGGGACCACCTCTCGGTTGTCGTGGTGGCCTTTATACAGCAGTTACTCAAAAAACATAGATCCTGTGGAACTGGGATTGAAGACAGAGCAAGGTAGTTTGAAAACAAACCTTCATCAATTGCTCTTCTTGAAGCTGTCGGCGTCTCAGAAGTTCCTCATCGTCCTCCTCTCTGCCACTAGATTTGCGTCTCATGTCAGTTCCTAATTCCACAGCAAAGACAACTTCTCACATCAGTCCCTCAGAAAGGAAATCTTAATGGACTAGTCCATCTGTGTTCAATTGGTTAGGCTGGCAAGGTCAGCAGCGGTCTTTAACATTTTTAAGTGAACATCACAAAGGGGAAAAAATGCCCTCCACCAATTCAGCCTACTGGTTGGTTTCTCGAGAACACAGGCCCATTTGTGACCAGCCAGTTCAATGAGCAAGGCAGGTGAGGTGTGAATTTTGGCCTCCCAACAAATAGACTACTCAAATGAATTGGGGTTGCCATTGTAACTGAGTCTAAGCCATCCCATTAACCCCTGATCAGAGCTCATTCTAGTAAGTGGGAAGAGAATCTCTGGCTGTCGTTTTGATGTTTCTGAGGTCCATTTTCAAATAGAGAGGAATCCAAATCTATCCACATAAAAGGTATCTTACCTTTTAAGAACCTTTTAGTTTCCTCTTTCTTTGAATATTTAGACTTTTCATAAGGCTATATTACTAAGTTCTACCATTAGTAAATTCATTTAAAAGCATATTTTTTATATTTCATTCAAGACATGAGTCTCTAATGTTTCCTGTCTCTCATCCTTTGAACAATGGTCACAAAAGAGTTTTATACAAGTAGGTAAATAAAAAGTGTTAATACAGCTAAAATTATTAATTATGAATTATTTTGGAATATAGAAAATTATTATTAATTATTTTGGAACAATATGGTAAATCATGTCCAATATTTAAGCTTCCTGAAAAAGGGACATAGAGGAATTCTACAAGGAATAGAAAGGAGGAATTTGCTGGAATGGATGGAAGATTAAGATAATCATTGTTTTTCCTAAATTGCTTGGATTAATCTGGCTGTGAGAGGAAACAGGAAAGCTTACTAATCTAATCAAAACAAACTTTAACTAACAATCTTAATTTTCATCATTCTGACTAGTGGACCAGAAATTTTCCTCATTTTGGAACCCAGGGGAGCTGTAAACTATATAGTGATAATAATTTCCACAACCAAAAATTTAATTCTCCCTTTCCCCAGAGCTGCTTTGAAGTTCCCATTAAGCAGCATAACCGAACCAGGAACATCAAAGGCCTCAGAAACTTCCTGAAGGGCACGGATTGGCTGAGAAAAGCCAATGACTGATTCTTAGTTAAAATTATAAACGTCAATGTGGGTTTCTTCTTTTTAGTTTATATAAAAACTAACGGACTAGTTTGCAGGAACTAGATAAATCTCATCAGCATAATGTGCGGAATACTTGTGAATAATGAACTGAGGAGGCAGATTTTTCTTCTACTACTTCTATAAATACTGATTGCTTCAAAATCTACTTATATTGCTGGGAGAAGTTATTCTGAAAATAACTTGATGAGAAATAGCACAATGAAGAAGATTAGGAAATTTTAGAAAATTGAAGGCCTTTTAGGGTGTCAACAGAAATATGATAAGATCATCATATCTTTGTAAAGTTGACTTGATACATTTTCAGTATTAGCTTCTGGGTTTGCTAATATTTCTTTTTAGGCCAAGTGATTTCGCTACTGACAAAACAGTAAAGACACAGACATAATTTGAAAGCATAAAGCAAAGAATGAAACAGCTCAAATGTGGCATTTTAGCACAGAATTCATGGAAATGAGAGATGTAAAATCACATAAATTCACATGAGTAGTATCTCAGAAGATCCACTACTCTGTTATAGCCTTTTTAGTGATGGAGATTGTGATTCCACAAGAAAAGTGAGAGTACTTCAGTATTAAGAGAATTGTAACTACAACCCAGAAATGGTCTAAAACAAATTTAACTGAAAGAAGTCACACTTCTGCGCACACTCTGTAAACTCACCCACTCGACTCTAATTATATGGAACAATGTTCTTGCCATGAGGCTTTGACGCAGCAATGCTCAAAAGACTTGCCAATTTTGCAGTAATAACGCAGAGTGTTCATGCAAGTCATTAGTTTTAGACCAGTTCTGGCTCTCAGTGGGTTTGGTTAGAGCAAGGCTCTGGTGGATGTGTTTTTGTAATTTTTAAGCATTTTGCACACAAATTAATACCACATTAGTTCTTTCCACTATTCTACGTCCTGGGTATGGTTTTCTTAAAAATCTTTATGACAGGACACATGTCCTTGCACCTTCTGAGCTTCTCAGCGGTCTGTCCATTTGACTTAGCTGTGATAGTTGCGTACCTACGCCAGCAAGTGAGGGGGGACCAGGCCAGTGGTCCGTCTCAATCTTGGGTGTCTCACTGGGGTCTGGAGCCTGGGCTGCTGGGAACTTGGAAAACTTGATGATATCTTCTGAAGACTTGCTCTGGGCTGCCAAGGCAGCTGCATCTAGGTGGGATCAGGAGTTGTTTAGCTATCAGTCTGTGAGGCAGTGGTGGTACAACCCCACCTATATGGTTTTCTTGTTCTCTGGCAAAAGTTTCAATTCCAGAAAGTTCTACCTATCATCATTATCAACTTTCCCCACTCATTCAGAGATGTCTATGACAACTAGTTTTCATCTATGTCAGAAGCAAAGCTACATTCAACATCTGTTCTACATCTGAAAAACCTTATTTTGGAGTAGAGCTATCTAATACTAGCTAATGTAACTATTTAAATTTAAATAAATAAAATTAACAAAACAAAAAAATGTAATAAAATTAAAATTCAGTTCCTCTTTTGCACTAGCTGTATTTTTTTCTTTCTTTTTTTTTTTTTTAAAGGATGAGGTTTTGGCTGGGTGCAGTGGCTCACGCCTGTAATCCTAGCACTCTGGGAGGCTGAGGCAGGTGGATTGCTTGAGCTCAGAAGTTCAAGACTAGCCTGGGCAAAAGTGAGACGTCCATCTCTACTAAAAATAGAAAAACTGAGACAAGATCACTTGAACCCCAGAGTTGGAGATTACTGTGAGCTATGACACCACAGCACTCTACCCAGGGTGACAAAGTGACACTGTCTTAAAATAAAAGAAAAAAAAAAGATGAGGTCTTATTATTTTGCTCAGGCTAGATTTGAACTCCTGGGCTCAAATGATCGTCCCACCTCAGTCTCCTGAGTACCTGGGATTAGAGGTGTGTGCCATCATGCCTGGTTCTAATAGCTGTATTTCAAGTGTTTGGAAGTCATATGTAATTAGTGGCTACTGTACTGGACGGTACAGATGGAGAATATTTCCATCATCACAGAAAGTTTCATTGGACAATGGTCTCCTACTGTGGTTATTTGAAATTTAAGAGCTAAGTTAAAAGCATAATGCTGTACTTGACCATAGCTGTTAATTGTTAGAGTGTTGGCTGGCTTTGCATCTTTGGGCAAGGAGCCACAAATATATTGGGCCAGTTCGTTTTAATCCTTTCATACTATATATGAGACCTGGAGTACTAGGAGAAATGGAAATGGGAAAATCCACTTTCTGCTTGCAGGAATTTAGCATTTTGACTTATGTTTGCCATACCCACTCATTGTTTTATTCAAGGGTCTGTGTACTCAGGTGAGCCATCCGATTTTAAAACAAAAGCCAAACTAACAGCAACAAACCAGTCTGAAGGGTCAGTCCCTGATTCTGGCTAATTTTGCAAACTAGCCTGGGATGTTACCAGACATTTCAAAATGTATTTATAATGCTTTAAGTTAAAAACAATTTTTTCCCCTGGGTTCATGTATTTTAAAATCTGGAAATAAATGTTTGAATCTTAAGCTCCAATTCTTCCATTCTCCTAGTAACCTCTTATCTCAATTTGCTCAAAGGACTTAATGAAGTTGGCCCAATAAGGGGCCATAATAAGGGGGACAGTCTTGGCCAGACATGGAACAGTGTTTCGCTGAATCCCTAACCTCAGGAGAAAAACATTTCAGCTTGGAAAGAACTACATATTAAATCCCCTTCTTAAAGGTGGACAAAATGATAGCATATGGGAGACTGAGAAGTTCTGAGCCACCATTAAAAAAAAGAAAAGGGATTTTAGTTAAATCTGCCTAGCCTTTCCCAGATGCATGAGGGCACAGACACTAGTTTGGGGTGTAACATCTCTTTCTCTGGTATGAGATAGCTATTTGCAGGGTATCTTTTGGAAAGTGCTGCTCTGGCTGGGTTGTTCTCAATTACAACAGACTGAAGTAAAGAATGCAAAGTAAGTATCACAAAAAGCAGCCAATGAATCCCTTCCAAATAAGTAATAATCTAACCTTATTCCGTCTCCTTAAATCCTTACTAATTATCTGTGTTCAGAAAGGAGGGGCCTAAAGATTTTTAGTATCTCTAAAAGTCTCTAAACTGATGCAGTCTGGGAATCCTGTTCTTCAATTAACAACAAAAAAAGCACGACCTCCAACAAACAGTACTTACGCATTAGAATTGGTGAAGTCAGTAGTTAAACATTCACATGTTAATGAGTATGGGAAGACATTAAACCATAAAAAGCAAAAACAAAACAATGTTAACAAACTTAAAAAGCAAGCACATCGTGTAAAACCGTTAAAAAAAAGAGAAGAAAAAAAATCATAGCTTTAGAACCATTATGAGACCTACTTTTTAATCTCCGTAGGATTTTGGCCTAAACATTTTTTCCTTGGGCATTTTCAACTTTGTTTTCAATGGCATTCTAATTCTTAAGGAATCTTTACTGTCTACTGGATTCTGAAGGCAGCCTTCAAATTTCCTGGCATAACTTGTGTATTGTTTTCTGAAATCACCTGAAGACCAGTTTTGGCTTTCTATTCACAAAGATTTGTGGGAGACAAATACATTGGGACTTAATAATGGTGGAGGAAAATGTGATTTACATAAAGTAATGTGATTTCCTGTGTTAAAAGAATTTGTATTCCCAGAAAAGGAAAATAATTATAAATCCATTATCATGACTGTTAGTTTGTGGGAATTTCTGAGACCAACTGGTAATCTAACTAACTGGTTTTTACAGATGGGAAAACTGAGACTCAGAGAGATGACATCCACTCATCTCCATGCCACCTGTGCCCCGTCCACTTCACCACACAGATGTCTCCACACCGTGTAAGGGACTGAGGACCTGAACAGCCAAGGTGATGTAGGCTCAGTTAAATTAATTTTTCTCTGTGGTTGGTTTTAATTAGTTTTGATTAGTCAAACTAATTAATTATAAGCTCATCAAAATCATTTTAGAGATTGGTTAAATTATTTGATGACAAAAAAACAAATCTTATTGGGATGTCTGTGAGTTGTTATGTGACCAATACTTCCCTTCCCTAGGAATGAAATGATACATGGTTTGATGGGACCAGGAATGGGCTAGCAGCTTCCTAATCAAGCGAAGTGTTCTCCACCCAAGAAAATCAATTCTACAATCTTTGCATCTCAGCAAACCAGAAAAGCATAATAAGCGGGGCAACCAGTCTGATTCTCAAAAGCAGCAGGAGGTGAGCCTTTCAGGACAGCACAGAGAAGTTCAGCTGACTCTGCTATTTAAAAGCTAGGCGGAGGAAAGCAGGTTTTACCATGCTGTTTGTAGATGGGTGGTTTTCGGTAAATGTTGATCCCTTGATCTGTGGAAATGAAAAGCAAAGGTGTGTGATTATGGGAACCAGTTCGCTGATGGGATAAACAGATCAACCCGGGGGCAAACCACACTGAAGACTCTTGAACAAAAATTAGCAAAGTTAACTTCTGTATTACAAAGACTGAGCGTATTGGAAGCAAAGACTACTACAGAAATGAGCGGCTTACTACAGACAAGTGATATGGAAGCCTTTGTAATACATCTTAGGCTATATAGAGATGTAATTAATTCATGAGCCATTTATTTCAAATACACACTTCACTGAAAGGTGGGATTAAAACAGGAAGAAATGCAAGCAGTGGGCTACTCTGATGGCGAAGAAGACATAACCAGTTTGGGGAAAATCCCCAAATTGCTACTGTCTAGAAATTGAGCCCCCAGTAATACCAGTGGCTCAATTTACTTTTCAACTGATGAGTGGAACAGTGGAAAGCAATGTTGAAAAGTTAAGAGTAACTTTTTTAAACATATAAGTACTTCTTAAATGCAAGGTTAGCGGGCTATGTTGACCGGATGTTCAACAAAATCCTGATTTGCATAAGCTGAATTGAAAAAAAAAAACACAAGAAAGAAAGAAAAAGAAAGGAGGCTAAATACTACACATATATTTACACGGGACCCCATTTGATTATGCCCCCATTTCACTTTAACTGCAAATACTAAGGAAATTTCAAAAGGCTTCTGCTTCCCCAGAATCTTGGGCCTATACCTTGTATGGTATTCTTCATGGGAAAAATTTCAAAAATAGAACACTGATTACCAAAATTCAATGAAACTTGTAAAAAAGGGCAGTCCCAGCTCAGTGAGTGGTACAAATCTTAGTGAACTTTCCTGTTTTATTAGGTAAATGTAGAAAGAAAAAGATAAAATGACTATGGGTTCCAAATATATATACCTGTGTTAACATAATAGGTCATTTATCAAACTACTTTCAGCAGCTAAAAGAAGGAAAACAAGGAACTCTTGATGGAAAAGTCATAGCTTGATCTCTGATGGCTAATACTGCTTCTACAAACTCAATCGATGCTAAACATGAAGATATTGATGGGCTCTGATTATTCTAGTTTCTGATGGCAAATTACTATTTGTTCTGTGACAGCAAATGCTTGTCGACTTCTGAGCAAAGCTTGTGGCACCAGGCCTAAATTGCAAGATATCTTCATGGGCTATGGAGTAACTCGTCAGTCTACTACAGAAAGGCCACCCAATTTTATACCTCTCTGGAAAAAAAAAAAAGGCAATGAAAAGAGTCTCCATATTGGACACAAAAGGGAAATTTAACAATATTCTTAGGTGACACTGTAGCTCAGTCTTGAGGATGGGAAGATAAGTAGATTGTCATTATGCTAATTAGTCAATGACACCAAACCATCAGAGGGACATCTTAGAAGGCACTAGCAGAGAGGTAAAATTAAAATTTTAATTTAAAAAAAAGCAAAACAATCAAAGCCCTCTCCTGTACCTTCTGTCTCCCACCCTCTTCAAAAATTTTTGAGAAAACATAAACCTTCAGTGTTCTCCTGACATCTCACAAACAAGACTTTGGAAAGGCCCTCAAGGTCAGATCCTGCAATTTAGGGTTTGTGGACCACGTGCATCCCAACTCAGAGCATGAAAGATGAGACAGACGAATTACAAGGCTACATTCTACACTGTGACAGGACAGCGAGACACAGACCGTGTCAGCTCCTACCTGGAACATGGAAATGTTTAGGGGCCTGAGCGTAAGTTGGAGTTAGAGGGCGGCTGTCTGGCCGGTAAGGGAGAGGGGAGTTCCGGCCGCTGGACGGCTCATTGCCTCCAATGAGAAGAATGGAGAAAACAAAATGAGAGAAGGGAGAGAAACAAAGGAAACCAAGCAAGCATAATCAAAATTCAAAACAACGACCAAAAGGAGGCTCATCGGAGAGGAGAGACAGAAGAAACAAATTCAATTCATCCACTTGGCTTGCGAAGGTGACATCAGGTTAGTTTTGCAGAAGAGAGAAGTGAGTTCAAGTGGAGCTGGGTTGTAAGCGGCTGGCGGGAGGTGTGTCAGCCCCACAGCATGCGGTGAAGGCGGGAGCTAGCAGCAAACTGACCCCATGGCGGGGACACCAGGAGGGATGGAAGGCGTGTGATTCAGGATCAGCTGTCAGATGGTTAAATCCCAAGCAGGTGGAGGGGTGCGCGATGCAAACCCAAAGACGGTCACTCCCAGGCATGAGGGCAGAGGCTGGCAATCAGAACATATGTCTCTGATCCAAAGGCTCAGTCTGGGGACCCGTGTGGTCACCCAGGCCTTCCCCTTAGGAACACCAAGGCCTTCACCGCAGCACATGTTTCCAGTTTCCTCACTTTGAAATACATGCGACAGTCAGACCCCTTTCTGCCTCGTATTTTGGGACCAGTTATGCCTCTCCCCACTCTTCTCCTCAACGATGAGGCTCCACCCAGGCTAATAGTTCAGTGACATTTGGTGACCACCTGCTATGGTTGAGCATGGAGGGATTGTGGGAACCAGGTGGGCTGGTTCCCTCCTTCCTCCTGATGTCCCAGGCCTCTGGGTGTGGGCCTTTCCATGTCTGCCTCCCCACCTTGTGAGCTTCAGGACTGATGCCCAGCTCAGTCCAATAGGGAGACTGCCACCGAGGAACAGGGAGATGAATGGGGTATAGTCCCTGCCCTCAGGGGGCTCTGAGTTTATCTAAGGAGACAGACTTCAGATTAATATATGCAATACCAAGTACTTGCTTTTCAGAGGTATTATAATAAAACTGTTAAGAGACTCAGATGACGGTGTCATCAGTTCTTCAGGAAAGCTACACAGAGAGAAAATGTTGTTATACTGAGCTGGGCATCAAAACTCAAGCTCACCAGGTGGGGAGGTAGACAGTGGAAAGGCCCACGCTCCAGAGGCCTGGGACATCATGAGAAAGGAGGGTGCGGAAGGGTCTGGTGCACGGAAACAGGCCCAGCCACTGTGGCTGGATAGCACAGTATTCTTGGAGGAGGGAAGAGAGATGAGCTGGAGGAGACAGCTTGGCCACCAAAGCCTTAAGTGTCACCATAGCCACCAGCGCTCTGTTCCGACCAGGAGGACAGCGGGGATGAATGGATGTTGGGGCAAATTTAGAAAATTACTGGCCTAAATTGTCTTCCTACTCTATATCTTGGACAAACATCTTGTCCCAAGAACACACCATAAGACGTAGGGCTACCAAAATTTACCAAATTAGTAATGCTGATTACCTTTACTATTAAGTTGTTAGAGTTCTTGATATTCTGGATACAACTCCCTTACCAAATAAATGATCTGCCAATATGTTCCCCTATTTCATAGGCTGTCTTTTAACTTTTTTGATGATGTCCTGTGAAGCACAAAAGTTCTTAATTGTGATAAAGTCCCATTTATTTACCTATTAATGTCAACAATTTTATATAAATCATAGATCATCAGAAAATAGAACTCTACCAAATTCCTTCAAGTCAAATTGTCCTAAATCTTGCTAGCGAAGTATGAAAGATGTCAACAGTTAGATTTTTAAAATATGTTTAGTAGAGTTTTAATTTCTCAATATGTATATTTTGGGGTAACCAGAGTACAGACCTGCATTACATGGGCAGTAAGGTACTCCAAATATTGGATCTAGGTTCGTCAAACTGAGTCAAATTTAGATTCCAGGCTTTTGGTCACTGGTGTTCTGAAACTTTTGTTTTTTTCCCCTCAAGAGTCAGTTTACCATCCGACTCTAACTATGTTACAATGTTGACTTTTTTATTGAAGTCAGATGTTAGTTTCTAAAAATTCTGAAGCTTCACCTCAAACTACTGATCTATTAGCAAGCTGATTTATTAAATTGTTATCTCATTGACCATCACTCTCCTAAAGAAAAGTAACTAGTTGGTGTCTTAAAAAATGAGCATAAAAAACATGGGTGAAATAAAGCAGAGGAGGGAAGGTTGTGGTTTGCATCTAGAAGGGAACAGTGTTTTCAACCTGTTTAGAACTCAGCCTCATTGACCATCACTAGTGTGTCGCTGGCCAGGAATAAGTGCTTAATAAATGCCTGCAACTGAATGACTGAGGTAGGGCAACTAATTAATTCCATAGCTATTTGCTGACCTAATTTACAAGGACCCTTGCAGGATTAACCATCTCCTTTCTCTGATCTCTTAATCAAAGGAAGCCAGTTGTCAGGGAGTAAGTCTTCACTTAAAGCTGAGAGGTTCTTGGAAACTTCAACTTTAAGCAAAATGAACTACAGCAGGTCCCCCAAATAACACCATTTTTAATATTGTTGACAAGAAAAAAAATGGTTTTTATACAATGTCATTTAGTTCAAAGTCACAGTTTCTAAGAACCTACTGACAGCATCGAGGACGCGCTGTATACGCACTAAGATCACAATAGTGCCCCTTTATAACTTTCCCATCAGGGTTGATCTTTGGTAGCTCTAATTGTTTAGCGTAAGAAAAATTCTTTAATTGTACAGACCTTAGAAATGACTGACAGGAGTATTCCATAATTGAAAAACCAGAATGATTCATGTGGTCTTTTCTCAAAAGAAAGGCTAAGGGGTCTTAGTGGTCTTGTCTTGCTTTAGGGTGTCTTTGGAAGACCCTTCCTGGGTCCCTGGAGTGCCGGCTGCCTGCCTTTGTTCTTTCACCTCTAACCCTGCTGTCCTTGGGAACATCAGATGCTTCGGGGAAAGCTCCCAGGTCTTAGTTCCAACACCCAATTGGATGAGACTCCATTACATTTGTTTGGATAATTTTCAGCCAGTATCATGCACACACAAAAGTACCTGCATATACAGGACATGAAGGCTACTAGAATTAGGAGTTTGTCCAAGTAATAAAATCTTCCTATCAGCAAGATTCTCTGCTGCCAGTGGCAGAAAAAGCTCGTCATTCCTTGGATATGGCTCAAGACCACAGAGGCTACGAAGTGAGTAGCTATCTGAATTCCTGAGGGGTGAATTCAGGCTGAATACTGTCACCGATGGGGTGTGGTTTTTTATTTGGCTGCTTATCTTTAGCTATTGACCTCTCTAGTTGTTAAAAGAAAAAAAAAAAAACTAGTATATTCAAGTCTTTGCAAGTAAATATAACTCTATAATCATTTAAAAGAAAGCATTTTAAAACACCAGGTAAATAGAGATTCAAGAAGGCACCTGTCTCTGAGATCCTGCACACAATGACTTTCACATATCACAGAGGTTTAAAAGGCCTTGGACTAGGTGCCAAATTCTTAGCCCTGGAAATACCAAAGGCATGATGCATTTTTGGCATTTTTAAGAGAAAAAGAAAAGTTTTCAGGAAGGGGCCTCTTCTCTTTTTTAATTTACACAGGCTGTCTTTATATAATGTCTCTTTCCACTCAACCTCACAGAAAATAACTGATAAGGACCCTGAGAAGTTGTTTGCTTAGTTCATTATTTAGACAAAGCTATGTATGATGCCTTACAGGAGATATCCTATTTGGGAGGTATTTTTATCATCATCATTATCTATCAGCCTCCAAAACGATTTAAAATTTTTTTGATTATTTTGAAGGAGATGGGGCTTGTTATGTTGCCCAAGCTGGACTCAAACTCCTGGCCTCACACGATCCTCCTGCCTTGGCCTCCCAAAGCACTGGGATTACAGGTCCAAGTCACCATGCCCAGCCAGATATTGTGTGAAATATACACTTACATAAACATACATATGAAATATGATAGCGTATGCATCACAACCAAAGCTATTGTGTTGTTTTAAATAAGCCCTTGGATTCGGCCACCCTACGCTGTTAGTAAACTTAGCTATAATTCTGGCCTTCATAATTACTTTTTTCCCTTCATATGAGCCATTTTTGTTTAGTTCTGGGGAGAAGACTGACTCAGAGGAGCCTCACCTACATAACACATTAACACGGTTTGTCTTCACTTACATTCTTCTTTTTGGTACCATGAGAGCACAAGTGACAAACTCTAAGACAAAGGACTAGAAACGGAGGTGACAGTTCTATTGTGGCAACCTGCTGGAACACTGCCTAGCTTTTTGGACTTGAAGTACTTATATCCTAAAATATAAATAAATTATCTCGAGGAGACCTTAACATAAGTTGGCGGCATCCGGAATTTTGAGATGGTTTCACGATTGCTTGTACTTGTCTAAAACATCAGTAAGAGTTACTGTTTCCTTTAGCAAGTGTCAAATACACACTTGCATCATAGCAACTCGTATTTGTGGCCAAACAGGAAATATTCCTTTTTTTTTGGCTGGGGGCTGGGTTTGAACCTGCCACCTCCAGTATATGGGGCCAGTGCCCTACTCCCAAAATGTGGAACGCTTCACGAATTTGCTTGTTATCCTTGCTCAGGGACCATGCTAATCTTCTGTGTATCGTTCCAACTTTAGTATATGTGCTGCTGAAGCGAGCCCAGGAAATATTCCCTTCAAAGACATGCTGATATATGTAGCCTTCCTGCTCACAAATCGAATTTCTACTTCACGGACACAGAACGTAACGTCTAGCTGTATTTCAAAGGGGAAGGAAGAGAAGCTTAGCAAACACTTCACAAACCAAGGTCAAAACAAAGTGCAAATGGGTTTTGCAAATCGCTAGGCAGAAAGTTGTCCAAATGGCCCAATGACATACTAATACAGAATGAGGCCGCAAGGAATCTCAGAGAACAGAAATAAAAACACATCCCCAAACAAGATGGATGTTACAGAAAATGGGTAGAGAAGCTAACGGGCCATGCATCTCAGCTTTACACCCATGCAGGCAACTTCAGCACAGTGAACCTGGGGTCTGGGCCACATGCATGG